AAACTCCAACAAACATGCTGAGAAAAAACGTCAAATCTAATCTGTGGCAGTGTATACACTACCACTAATTTCAAAATTCAATTTTTCTATCACTTAATCTTCACAACCTGCTCAAAACTTTTAAATCTCTCTCTCTCTCACACACAACACAAACCATTTTCTCTATCTCTAGTTCACTCTTTTATCTCTATTGAGGAACTGTGTTTATCTTGGTCAACTTGCAAAACAAATATCAAAGGTATCTTCAAGATTAATCAGGCTTGTTGGATGTTCTCACTCGATTACGCTGGTATGTTCGGAAACTAAGAAAGTCGAGCAACTACGATGGATAATTTTATTATGTTTAACCATCTTGTTTATATTCACAGTTACAAAAGAAGTTTTAAGAAAATAGAGAAGTGAAAGATGAACTAGTTTATTCAGATAGATTTATAGTGTGCCAATCAGGTGCATAGATATGAGTTTTAGATGTGGACTATCATCCTTTAATTACACTATCCTTCACTGTATGTGTCTGTTGAGTAAGCTGACTGTATAACAAGCTACTCCACATCTATAGAGATGCAAATACACCAACGGAGACATTAGTTCGAGATGGAAGTAGTTTGATTTTGATTTTTTTTCTTATGATTTTTGGCCTGGATGTGGTTAAAATTAAAAAGAGGTAATAGGTTCAAACTTGTAGTGTGTCAATCAGATTTGTAGTTTTCCCATAGAAAGAGAAAGGAAAAGCATGGATATATAGGAGACACAACCTGGGTCTTCGCTTTTCGAGAGGGACATTAGTTCGACAGGGAAGCAGTTTGAAGAGTTTTAGTTTTTTAGGAACTAAACCAAGTATTGTATATTATATATTAATTAGTTATTTTTAGTGTCTGAAGGTACGAAATAGTAAAAAAATTGTCAATAATAAATATATGTATATTCACACCCAAAATTAAATTACAAACATAAACAAAAGAGAAAAAAATTTAAACATCGGTTGTAGTAGGTGTAACTGATGGTAGTGATGGTGGGTGACAGTGGTGGTTGTGAAAAATGGTGATAATTACGGTGGTTGGCAACAATCGTCGTGGTGGTGACAATTGTGGGTTGCAACGGTGATGGTGGTTTTGAATTTTGGGTGACGATAGTGATAGTAGCAGTCATTGGTGACAACGGTTGTGGTGGTGGGCGACAGTGGTGGTGGGTGGGGACGGGTTTTTCTACGTGACAGTGTGATAGGTGGTAATGAACGACAGTGATAGTGATTGTGGTAGGTGTGGTGGGGATGGGGGTGACCGCAGGTGGTGATAATGGTGGATGATGACAAGTGGTGGGGGTGGGTGAAAATGGCTAATGGCGATGGTGGGCAATAACGGGTAGTGGTCGGTTGTGGTAGTGGGTGACTGTGGGTGGTGTTGGGTGTTGATGGTGGGGCGATAGTAGTAGTGGTAATAAATATAAGAATGAGATGACGATGGTGGTGGTGGACAACAGTGACAGTAATGTGGGTCGCGATGATGGTGGTGATGGTGAGGAGTAGCACTGGCAATGATGACGATGGTAGTGGTGATGGTTGTAGGGATGGTGGTTAGACTGTGGGGAGTGGTGGTAGGGGTTCTGATGGGACAATGACGATGGGTGATGGCAGCGGTGGTGGGGGTAAGGGTGACGATAATGGTGGTGGCGATGACGATGGTAGTGGTTATTGTAACAGAGGTGCTAGTGGGATAATAGTAGTGGTGGTAGTGGTTATGGTGGTGGTGGGGCGGGGGTAGTGGTAGTAGGGTGGCAACAGTGGTGGTGATGGCGGTGTTGGTGGGGTGGTAGGTGTGGTGGTGGTGGTGGGATAACAGTAGTGGTGGTGACGGCGGTGATAAAGGTGGTGGTGGGGTAGCACCAGTAGTCGTTGTGGTGGGGTGGTTTCAAATACTACTTTTTTTTTTAAAGTATTTTTGAAAAGTTATAAATTTTAGAAGTACTTTTAAAAAGTTATTTCCAAATACACCCTTATGATCTATTTTCATATTAAATTTGGTGTGTTAATATTAGTTGTTAGATTAACTTTAAAGTAAAATTTAAAGAGATTTCTACCGCGAAAAATAAAAATTAATTTGTTTATCTTTTGATATTTAAATTGTATTGTACTTTATTATATAGATTTTGTTATGATTTTAATTGTGGCTAGAATTATTGGAATGGATTAATGTAATCCATATGGGATTCTACATTCGTCTTGAGCTGTAGTAGTCGAATAAGAATTCCAATTGCTTTTGTAGTATTCTATTAGAAGTGAGATTATTAGTTTATTTTTTTAATTATTGAATTGTTTGTTTTGTTAAATAAGGACTCTAGCTACTAGTTCAAATTGAAATTTTGAGTAACTTGTATGACCAAATTTGAAGAACTTTGTTGGGTATTCAAGAACTCATTTATATTTAGTAACCTTAAATTAGTTAAATAATAGAAATGTTTCCCCTTCATTATTTCAAGCATTTCTATAAGATTTATGTTCGATATTCATATTATAAATCTTAAGGAACATGTGATACTTAATCAAAAATTGGTCATTTGGTTTTCCTCGTCAACTTGTACAGTATAAAAAAACATAGGATTTTTTTCTTGCTGGTTAGGGGTGTTCAAATTTTCGATCGGCCACAAGTTCCTACCCTACTCTACTGAACAGCTAGCCCAAAAAATCGGGTAGGAATGCGGAAGAGTTTTTGATTTTTCAACAATTTTTGGGTAAAAATGCAGAATAGCCATTCATTTTCATATTCCTACCCTACCCTACCCGCAATAATTTTTTAATATATATATGTAAACTAAAAAAACCCTAAACCCTAACTATAGGTTGAACAATTATGATTTTAATGTATTTCATATGGTTTAAAGTTTAAACTTAAATTAATCGTTATTGTATTTGTGTAACAATTATGACGGATTGATGTTCATATTTTTATGTGTTTTATTATAATTCTTGTTGTAGATGTTTTAAATTTTAGTGTTAATTGATTTATTGTGTTGTTAAATTGATGCATGTTATTTAATTAAATTGTTAAAATGATCCAAAAATTAATTGTTACAAAAATATTTATCCGACTTCCTACCCGATTAATCGGGTAAGAAGTCGGGTAGCAATATCATACCTGTCGGGTAGGGTAGGCCAAAAAAAAACTCTTCCGCAAAGTATCGGGTAGGAAGACGGAAGAACATATTTTCTACCCGTAAGGTAAGGTGAACACCCCTATTGCTGGTGCTTGAAATAATTAATCAAACTTTGATCATAATTTTTTTTCCCTTTCGGCTTGTATAAAATTATGACGATCATTATGAGTAAATCCAACATTTTGATATCCACCAACTTCATTTAATAGATAAGAAAATATTTTTGTAGCTCTTCTACCAACGTCAACCATTGATTTAATAACAACTTTACTAGTATTTTGTATCTTTTAGGCGAATCTTATCAAGCATCATTGTTCATATTCAACAAAAAGGTGATTGTGATTAGAGATAAATTTTGAAATTTTATATACGTCATTTTTCAAAGTAAAAATAACACGAGTCTGAAAACCACATTTTGTGTTTAATTTATAGGATTTTATCTCTTCATTTAGATCTGTAAATTCTCTAAATCCCTCTTTTAAACATAAAAATATGTGTCCACTAACTTCATCCGTGTCCCTTGAAAAGCTCTTATGCCCCTATAGAATGTTAAAACTTTTATTGTATGCATATTTGTTACACACGTTAAATGTCTTTTCTTCACTATTTGCTAACATACCAACTTTCAGGTTACAATAATAATTATTGGCTTAAAAATTGATCAGGTGCATTAATCTCAAAATAGTCAGCTCTAACTTCTTCGTTGCTATAGTCACAAATTTCTATATTTTAAAATTACGTAATGATATATAATTAAAATTTCATTCATGTATAGTGAAATCAAACATATACAAAAATAATTTAAATCTATAAAGTAAAAAAAATGCCAATTTGTACAATTTATTTGTCCCGATTTGAAGCCATTATTCAATCTATGTCCTTACTCCTCACATTGACTCCACATACAATAAAACTCATCACATGATAAAATATAAAGCAAAAAACATGATACACACAATAATGGACAGTAAGAGAAAAGAAAATAATTTCTTACCAATTCTTCAAGTGAAACTTTTGAAATGCTAAAAGAAAACGTGATATATGGAGAAAAAAGAAAGAGAGATTGAAGGAAAGATGTTAATTTGAAAGTAGGAATGAGAGTTTTATGGTGAAAATAAGTGATGAACAAGTGGTTGGTGAATGAGTAACGGTTAAAATAATAATGAATTTTTAATTAAGGGCTAAGTAATGCTACAGTAATTAGCCAATGACTTGTCTTAAAAATGCAGTTGAGTTGACCTTTAGAGTGGCCTTTACAGCAGTCCTAATGGATGGAGAACACAATGGTGATGGCTAGGGGAGTTAATCGAGAGCAGTTACTCGAGCTCAACTTAAATAAAAATTTGCTCGAGTTTGACTTATGTTTTAAATGAGTTGAACTTGAATAATTTTTTAGTTTTGGTTTAAACTCGCAAAATTCAATTCGTTTATATGTAAAATAATCGAGCTAGTAGAGTTTGACTCAAATTCGAGTTCAGCTCGAGTTATAAAGAGCTTTTCCCCAAACTCAGTTCCCCTCAAAACTTAATTCCATAGTCCAGTCACTTTTAAACTCAATTCTTAAATTTAATTTTTTTTTAAAAACGTCATTTGGAATAATGATTTGAACATGAATTTTTTTTCCCTAAAACGTCGTTAAAAATAACGTTTTTAAAATCGTTAAATTTTAACGTTTTATAACAAGAATTTTTAACTGATTCTAACAGACATTTAAAAAAATATAAAAATTAAAAACGTTTTTTATAATGACGTTTTCAAAAACGTCATTTTCAATTACGATTTCAAAGTCAGGCTACTTAAATTTCACATTTCACACAAGTTACGTAAAAAATTTTCAAAAATTTTCAAACATAACTGCTCATCTCTCTCCTCCTCCTCAACCACTCTCCGACGAGGAAGATCATCGGAGAACCATCCACCAGCGACCACAGTGTCCACCAGCGAGCATATCCTCCACCAACGAGCACAGCCTCCACCAGCGACGAGCACATCCTCCACCAGCTTGAAGCCTCCACCAGCGTGCACAGCCTCCACCACCGACTGAGCAGTGAGCACATTCTCCATTCTCTATTTTTTGCCCAAAATCGATTTTTGCCCTAAATCAATTTTTGCCCAAAGGATTTGTTCTGTGGCCTGATCTATTCTGAGTGATCTGATATATTACAACCTCATATGTTAGGGTTCTAAGTCTTGTGTGATTATTTTGGGATGATCAGAATGTTTTTCTTGTTTTAAGCCCTTCAGAGAGCATCAGATTAATTAATATTGATTGATTTGATTCTTTTGCTGTAGATGAGTATTGGGAGGAAGTGGAAGGAAATTATTGATGTCGCTGATAAGATCTTACAGCTTTCATGTAAATTTCGGTACTCTTAAGATTGGCTGTCTCTTAGCAGAGTGTTTCTCTATTTCTTACTGCTTTGTTTATTTCAGGATGATTCTAAAAAGGAAAGATCAGCAAAAGGTCGATACAACGTGTGAACAATCCTTTGAGGTGTTTTTGGAGTTTTGTCTACCCTTCCAGTTGAAGTGAACCAGTATTAAAGAACCCGAAATTGATACAATGTTTGCACCTTGCTACTGCTTTTTTGTTGACAGTAATTTGGATTTAAGATGTTCCTATCCAATGTAATACCTTGTTTCTGTGCTGACATTTGGGAAATATAAATCACCTAATGTTTTTTGTCAATGTAGCAGGTAATAGATATTCGTGATTTATAAACCGGGGTGGAAATCAACCTCTCTAAAATGAGGATAAGCAACTATTTACCTCTCTTAGACCATGTTATATGTGGAAGTCTCTGGACTAGAAACACGTTAAATTATTACCCTGACTCCAGGGGTGTAGGTTCAAATTTGACCATTGTGTCTGTATAAAAATTCACCTCAACCGTTTCATTTAGGTGCCAAAATGTGGCAGCATATTCGGAGAAAAAGGCTCCAACAAAAAGTTTATACGTAATAATTGGGAGAGAAAATTATCTAGTTTTACTCTTTATTTTGGAACTGTTTATTTTCAGACTCGAACTTGTGATGTATTGTCTGAGTCTTTGCGGTTCTCTTGAGTTTTATTGGGGTGCAGTTCATTTATTAAATGGCCTTATGGGTTCCGGCGATGCTCATGGATCTGTGTTAATGGGTGTTTTCTGAACAGATATCAAGAAGGTGAATATAGGATTTGTATGTAATACGTAATAGAGTTACAAAACTAGCTGTTATTCTATATAAATGTAAAATTGTAGAAGTTTGTGCTGATTATTTTCATTTCTAGGTTAAATTCCACAAATAAATATTATAGCCTGGGATATTTTTTATTTTTATTTACTGATTTATTTATCAAGATGTACAGCTTGTGGGTATCAGGTGATGTTTGATGTTTTCCTTGGAATATATTAGATGGTTTTATGTTGGTGGTGGTGTTTTCATAATTTTGAATTATTGGTGCTTGTGATTTGTGTCAAAAGGCTCGGCTGATGGTGAGAAGAAGCTGTAGTTGGATCTACAGAGTCTTAATTCAAAGGGTAGGCGATAATTCTCTCTACTAAATGGGGGAAATCTCCACTTCTCATCTGGTATTTTTGATTTAATTTTGCGAGAATTGATGGTATTACAAGTAATAATCAGATACATATACTTTTACCCTTTTGTTTTTGTTTTCTTTTTTGAGTAGGAATCCAAGTAGATGTGGAATTGAAGGGTGCTGGAAATAGTGGGGCTAAAAAGGCATCAGCAGGCAGAGGAAAAGGCGGTTCTAATAGCAAAGATAAGAGAGGGGGACGAGGTGCTGGTGCTGCTTCCAAGCGAAAGAGATGAAATGCGACAAGTGTAAGCAAGGCTGTAAGGGCCAATTTTTTTGTTCATAACAAGTTTAAATAGTGTTTCCCCACGTCGCCTTTTCCTTCTTTTTCGGGTTCCTTGGTGGGGTGTTGGTGGATTGTTTTTGCAGCCTTTGTAAAGGGGAAGATAACTCTTTGGTTGACCTTTTGAGTGTCTTGTATTTTTTTTTTGTTTTTCCAAAATGGTGGCGAGTCATTGACGAGTATTTGATCAAAATATGACGAGTATTTTGCCTTAGAGAAGTGATGTTTTTAAACACATTTTACTTCCCCTTTGCATCAGGCAGTTATACTTGATATTCTGATAGAAAAACTAGTAAAAGCAGAGTTAAAGCTTCTGATAGACCAAGCAACATTGTCTTTTATATTTAATTGAGTGGAACACAAACCTTCTAACAGGGGAAGGGGGAGGGGGGTGTGGGGATATATTCCACCCTCACAGGTTAATTCTCCATCCGCACAAATAGATCAACGAATACGAAAGTAGGAAGAAAAGAAGTAGGGAAAAAAAGAATGTTGAAGTGACCTCTCGAGTATGTTTCATTTTGGAATACCGTGAGTACCTTAATCTCTGCCTGATTTCGTGTGTTGCTTTTAATGCAGAGTTTGGACGGCAGGGCAATCAGAGTTAATGTTGCACAGGAACGACCAAGGCGTAGCTCCTTTTGAGTGAAGATGATTGATTCTATTTGGTGGATAGATGTAATCTACAAGGGGTGATTGTTATTTGTCTTTCTTGCTTTCTTAATGCTAGTGACAAGAATTGCTTTGTTAATGCTAGTGACAAGAACAATTTTGTGGGAGTCCAAGGGTCTCTGTAATTGTCTTCTTCCTTCTTTTTTTTTTTTTTTTTTTGGGGGGGGGGGGGTGGGGTTGTGTGTGCTAGGAAATACCCTTTTCTTTTCTTATTAATTCATTTTTCCTCTCACATTATATGTTCTCTGTGGATATAATGTTAACGTATAAAATCTTCCATAGCTCTTTTATAGGAATCAAATTTTCTCCAATATTTTTTGATAGATCATACACCATTTTTTTTTGGTTACTGGGTGGTTAAACTTACATCAATTATTCCTTCGAGCTCAATAACGGTAATCGTGACATGAGCTGGAATAAAGCATATTCCTACACCATTAATGATAAAGTTACAAATTTTACCAATCTGCATTTTCATCTAACGAACAGATTTTTGAGGGATTAGAGGCTCCAATTTTGCTAGAGAATTATGCCCCTTTATCATCCTCTTGAATGGTCCCTTAAAACTATGCCATGTATAATGCAACCACAGAGATATGTTTAGCAACCAGAACTAAAATTTCGATGAAACCATGCCAAGCTATTACTTTCAGACAAATGCAAGCAATTAAGCCACATCAATTGCTCTGTGTTGAAGTTTAATAATGTCATCCACCATTCACCCTAATTTGATCTTACCTTCCCCCTTGCTGCTCAATCTTTATAAGATATCTTTCACATTATAACGTTGATCGAATTCGAGCATTTCCAAAAGCTTATAGATATCGAGAGAACATCTTATCAAAAATTCGAGCAAAGATAAGATCATGATAGAGTGTAGTGGAATAATGTAAAATATAAATTGCAGAAAATTACTGTTGCAGACAGTTCATCTGAATGTTTCTTCATGACCTCCTCAACCTTGGAGTCATCGCTCTCTAGAACCTGCAAATCATCATTGACCTAGAAAATAATATATCAGAGCTCCTACATCATCAAGTTGTTTATGAACATCTATGTTCTTTACTATTTACATGCACGTACAACACAAAAAGTTATAATAACATTTTTTTGTAATGATTGTAAAAGATAAAGGCAAAACATAATTATTTTGGTTATGACATTATGTGGCATACCAATTGAGTGAATCTTGAGTTTAACAAGCTCCCTTGCTTATTTTATTTTCTTGCATGGATTTCATATCCAACCGTTTTTGATTTAATTTTCATATTTCATTAATAAATGTGTTTTGATTCTTATAAAAAAAAAAAAAAAATTCACCAAGCTCCATGCGTGCGCTTGTGTTTGTCTGTGTGTGCAAGAGAGAGAGAGAGAAAGCAAAACAGAAAAAGAGGGGCGGGGGTGTGGACACTGCAGATAGCACTTTATCTCTCCTCCGCCACCAGTACTAACTGGGACTCCATAGAACAAGCAATTTAATCCTCATGTAAAGTCAAAAAGCTGGTCCATGGTTGAGTTTCACTGTTTTTTTTTCCAAAGCACACTGCAGATAGCACTACTTTATGCACTTTTCATCGCTGTGTTTGTGGTGGCAGAAAACGTCATTTACAATGACGTTTTTTATCCCTTATTTTTTTATTACATTTGTTAGTTGCTTTTTAAAAATTTATAGGTTAAAACGTTATTAAAAATGACGTCTTTAAAAACGTCATTTTATATGACATTTTTCAAAAAAAAATTCGGTTTAAAAACGTCATTTAAAATGACGTTTTAACTTATAAAGACGTCATTCCAAATAATATTTTTTAAAAAAGACTGGGTTTGAGAAATAAATTTAAAACATACTGGTTTAGGGAATTAAGATTTGTGGGAAGGCTGGGTTTGGAGAAAAGCTCGAGTTATAAATAAGTCGAATTTGAACAATTTTTTAAAATCGTTTAGAAAAACAAAATTACCAGGTTCAAGATCAAACTCACAAAGATTGACTCGAGTAACAAGCCTAATGGTGGCAGCGGCGGCACAATGGTGGTGGTGGATATTGAAAAATTAAGAGTGTAAAATATATTGAGAGTATATTTATTCATTATGAGGAATTGATTAAATCTTTATTCACTAATATTTTCAGCATTAAATTTTAAGTTATCAAACATATTTAATTCATTAAATATTTAAAATATTTAATTTTAAGTTTTAAGTTGTGTGTTAAACAGTACAAAAACTTAGATCAATCTGCCTAAAAATAAGTAACAGTGAAGTTTAGAGAGTTAGTTCGGAGAGACATGAGCAGCTGTCAGATACATTACATTACACTTGAGCACTTTAACTCCTCCTTCTCTATCTCCATTTGTGTCATCGTCACCAATACCATTGTGCCACCACCACCACCGTCCTTACCGTCGCCACCACCACCACTGCCATTGTCACCATCAGTGTGTCGCCATTATCACCACTGCCACCATCAATCACCATTACCGCCATTACCACCATTATTGCCATCATATTCATTATGCCACCACCACCACTAGCACTACC